ATACCTATCCTTCTCAAGCTGTCCCAAAAAACAGAAATGGAAGGAAAACTCCCGGACTCATTCTACGAAGCCAGCATCACTTTGATTCCCAAACCAGACAGAGACCCAGCAAAAAAAGAGAACTACGGGCCAATATCCCTGATGAATATTGATGCAAAAATTCTCAACAAGATACTAGCAAATCGAATTCAACAGCATATAAAAAGAATTATTCACCACAATCAAGTGGGATTCATTCCTGGGTTGCAGGGCTGGTTCAGTATTTGCAAATCAATCAATGTGATACATCACATTAACAAAAATAAAGAAACATATGATCCTGTCAATAGATGCAGAAAAAGCATCTGACAAAATACAGCATCTTTTCTTAATAAAAACCCTCGAGAACGTAAGGATAGAAAGAACTTACTTAAACATCATAAAAGCCAGTTATGAAAAGTCCACAACTAATATCATCCTCAATGTGGAAAAACTGAGAGCTTTCCCCGAGATCAGAAACACGATAGGGATGTCCACTCTCACCACTTCTCACCAACATAGTGCTGGAAGTCCTAGCATCAGCAATCAGACAACAAAAGGAAATAAAAGGCATCAGAATTGGCAAAGATGAAGTCAAACTTTCACTTTTCGCAGATGACATGATACTTCTACGTGGAAAACCCGACAGACTCCAACAAGAGTCTGCTTGAACTGATCCATGAATTCAGCAAAAATCAATGAACGGAAATCGGCTGCATATTTATACAGCAATAATGAAACAACAGAAAGAGGAACCAAGAAACTGATCCCATTCACAATTGCATGGGATCACAATTGCATCAAAAAGTATAAAATATCTAGGAATAAACCTAACCAAAGATATAAAAGATTTATATGCTGAAACTATAGAAAACTAATGCAGGAAACTGAAAAAGACACAAAGAAATGGAAAAACATTCCACACTCATGGATTAGAATAAATATTGTGAAAATGTCGATACTACCCAAAGCAATGTACACATTCAATACAATCCCAATCCAAATTACACCAGCATTCTTCTCAAAGGTAGAACTATCCTAAAATTTGTATGGAACCACAAAAGACCCCGAATAGCCAAAGTAATATTGATGAAGAAAACCAAAACGGGAGGCATCACCATCCCAGACTTTAGCTTCTACTACAAAGCTATAATCATCAAAAAAAAAAGTATGGTATTGGCACAAAAACAGACACACAGACCAATCTAATAGAACAGGGAACCCAGAATTGGACCCACAAATGTATGGCCAACTATTCTTTGACAAAGCAGGAAAGAATATCCAATGGAAAAAAGACAGCCTCTTTAACAATAAGTGGACAGCAACATGCAGAAGAATGAAACTAGACCACTTTCTTACACCATACACAAAAACTAAAAATGGGTGAAGGACCTGAACGTGAGACAGGAAACCATCAAAATCCTAGAGGAGAAAGCACAAAACAACTTCTTTGACCTCAGCCACAGCAATTTCTTACTTGACACCTCTCCAAAGGCAAGGGAATTAAAAGCAAAAATGAACTACAGGGACCTCATAAAGATAAATAGTTTTTGCACTGCAAAGGAAACAATTGATAAAACTAAAAGGCAACCAATGGAATGGGAAAAGATATTTGCGAATGACATATCAGATAAAGGACTAGTATCCAAAATCTATAAGGAACTCACCAAACTCCACACCCGAAAAACAAATAATCCAGTGAAGAAATGGGCAGAAGACACAAACAGACACTTCTCCAAAGAGGACATCCAGATGGCCAACAGACACATGAAACAATGCTCAGCATCCCTCCTCATCAGGGAACTACAAATCAAAACCACACTGAGATACCACCTCATGCTTGTCAGAGTGGCTGAAATGAACAAATCAGGAGACTCTAGATGCTGGCGAGGATGTGGAGAAATGGGAACCCTCTTGCACTGTGGGAATGCAAACTGGTGCAGCTGCCCTGAAACAGTGTGGAGGTTCCTCAAAAAGTTAACACTAGAACTCCCCTATGACCCAGCAATAGCACTGCTAGGAATTTACCCAAGGGATACAGGAGTGCTGATCCATAGGGGCACATGTACCCCAATGTTCATAGCAGCACTTTCTACAATAGCCAAAATGGAAAGAGCCTAAATGTCCATTGAATGACAAATGAATCAAGATGTGGTTTATATATACAATGAAAGACTACATGGCAATGAAAAAGAATGAAATCTGGCCATTTGTAGCAACATGGATGGAACTGGAAGGTATGCTGAGTAAAATAAGTCAGGCAAAGAAAGACAGATACCATATATCTTCACTCATATGTGGATCTTAAGAAACTTAACAGAAGACTGTGGGGAAGAGGAAGGGGAAAAAATAGTTAAGGAGAGGGAGGGAGGCAAACCATAAGAAACTCTTAAATACTGAGAACAAACTGAGGGCTGATGGAGGTGGGAGACAGGGGAAAATGGGTGATGGGCATGGAGGAGGGCACTTTTTGGGATGAGCACTGGGTGTTGTATGGAAACCAATTTGACAATAAATTATATTTAAAAAAATAATAAAATTTATCCTATGCTTGAAAACACACAAAACAAAACAATGTATCCTGATGTTTTACTTTCTAGTATTCAAAATAATTCACCCAGTTTGAAATGACAACTACCGTTTATTGAAAAAAAGACAAAGGACTGCAAATGTCACCATCAAACCTGAACAGATCTTGACAATATAGAATAATCCCTTCATTCTCGAAGTGAAAGAAGAGAATGTGCCTGCCATTACATTTTACTGTATTATCTGTCCCTCGCTTGTCTTGATTCACTTACCAGTATTTTGGATGCACTACAAAATAAATTACAAACACCGTCAGTACACTTTCTCTAAATATTTCAGCAATCTAGGGAGGGAATTATGGGGCTAAAGCAACAGAGGACTTAAGATGTGCCTAAAAACACACTGTCTTCCAGAATGAAAGCCACTCTGTATTAGCAGAAGGGACATCTAAGGTATTGGGCGGGAAAGGCTCTAACTCTCCTTCCCCGACAGCTTTACAATACTCTGATTTTCTTTCTTTCTTTTTTTTTTTCCCCAGAATGTGTTTATTTTTCCAGAGAGAAAAAGAGCGAGAGCGGGTGCGCAAGCGAGCACTCACACATGGGGGTAGGTGGGCAGATGGGAGAGAGAATCCCAAGCTGGCTCTGCGCCTTCAGCACAGAGCTGGACCTCCGGGCTGGATCCACGAACTGTGAGATCATGATTGGAGCCAAGATCAAGAGTTAGACACTTTTCCACCTGAGCCCCTGGGAGCCCCACTTTCTTTAAAAAAAATAAATAAATAAAATAACAACATGCATATGACATTGACTTAACCACACAAAACTTAACATAGGAAATGTGAGTGGAGAACTTGTGTTCCACCTCTTCTACCACCACTTCCGCTGCTTTCCCTTGGGAAAGGGGAAAGCTCAACTGATATTATGAGACCCTTACATAAGGAAAATTAAGCACTAAATATTAGGAACTTCAAACACTACTCACTGTATATACTATCCGGTCTACAGGTCAGTTTACTACCCTGGAGTACAAGCTTTGAGGACTGGTGGTGACCGATTTGTTCCTGTACCCACCACACGGCCTACCATGCTGTAGGCCAGTAAATGCTCAATGAAAAAAAGGTCCTTCCCTATCTTTTAAGTTGTACTTTTAAGTTCAGTCTTCCTGGTAGGTAGGCAGATTTTCTGAGGAGAAATCACGTCCCTCGAGGAGCCGTCAGTAACAGAGCCTCCTAAATCTACCACCATGGTCTGGCTAGAGAAGCTTCTGAAAAGGGAGAAAATGAACATTCCAGCAGCTACTATATGTCTGACACAACACACGTGACTTCAATGATTCACCACGACTTTGGCAAATTAACATGTCACAGCATTCTACTAGGTTGCCTTATGGCATTGGGATCTAAGAGGCACCGAATCCCATTTAATCCACCATAAGGTCGCCGGTTCTGCACCCGCTTCCTAATTCAAGCCTGCAAATCACGGAGCTGGAGAAAAGGAAGGAACAAATAGCCACAACATTTCGAGGGTTGTGTCTTCAAACCGTTCTTGCTTATTTACCCGGCTTTCTCCAACGTTCTTAACACAGAGAGGTTTGTTACTGAGGGGCTTAAAGAAGTCTCAGCTTGGGAAAGAGCGGATCTAGGCTCTGAAGCCAGAATTGAATCCCCAAGTCCAGAGAAACGACTGGGCCGTACACAGCTGACAGCGATGCGGCTGGGAGGCCAGCGCACGTGTATACCACTCAGGAAGCTTCCCGCACTGCCCCAAGCGGTCTAGTACCTCACTGCTGAGATTTTTAGAACTCTCTTTTGTTAGAAAAGCCACGCTGCAAGCCTGCTATCCTCACGCCCAGCCCGACCCCGTCGGCCAGGCGGCCCCGGCTACCTTGGTGTCCACGTCGGCCAGGCAGTCCCGGCGGAAGCTGTCAAACAGGCCCCGGCTCTTGAGCTGCTCCACGATGAGAGCGATGAGCTGCGGGTCGCCGGGGGGCAGTGAGGCCGGGTTGATGGGGCCGCCGCCCCCACCTGCCCCCGGCGCCCCCGCCGCTGCCCCCGCCGAGGCCTGGCCCGCTCCGCCGCCGCCCACCGAGCCCGTGCCTCCGCCGCCGCCGCCGTCTGCCATGGCTGCGCCCCGGGCCCACAAAGGAGACCGAGCACAGCTTCTCAGGGACAGAAGGCCTGGGTCGTGTAGAGGCGGCAGAAGCGCCCAAGGAGAAGGCGGAGGGGGAGGACAATGGGGAGGCGGCCGGGGGAGAGGAGGAGGAGAGGAGGGAGAGGGCGGCGGCGGCGGAGGCCGGCTCCAAGGGAGCGGAGGTGGTGGTAGAAAAGGTAGAAACGGCCCGCTCCATCCCGGGCGCTCTACAGATGACGTCACAACTGGCCTTTGCATTGTGGGACGGGAAGTTTTCGACACTCATCTCCGCCTTTCTTATAGGCGGAGGTCTGGCCGAACGAAACTACAATTCCCGGCAGGCTCCGGCTGGCTTGGCGACAGTTTGCGGGGCAGTACGGGAATTGTAGGCTCAGGCACTGGTGATTGCCGCAACCTGTGCTTGACCTTCCTCGTCCAGTCACTGCAGCGCTCGCCTTGAATCTGCAGGTCCCGGCAAATGCCCGATTATAAGAATTATCTGTGGGGCTGATTAAAAGTGTAAATCAACAGGCTTGTCCCTGAGATGTTCGGATTCAGTATTACTGGGTAAGGCCTAGGAATCTGTGCTTTACACGCACACCCACGCCCTCCTTGAACAATAGGAGCGCGGGAAATTTGGGAAACAGTGGACTAGTCAAATTTGTATTATGTGTGAATATTTTTTCACCTTTCAGATTTTAATAGCAGTGCATACTTATTTTAGAAAATTGGAAAATAGCAGAACATTGTGACGAAGAAGACAAAAGTTTCCCTGAATTATTTCTTATGTATGTGGTTTTCCTCCCAGATATTAGAGTCATAATAATGGTAGTGATAATAATAATCTAATGTCGAGTAAATGGAATGTGCCAGGAATGATGCTTAAGCACTTTTCAAACACGACTTGATGAGAAACTAAAATGCAGATATTATTGCTGTTTTACAGATACAGAAATGGAGACAGAGAGTTTGTTGCCCTGATCCCATAGCTATAGGCTGAAGAAGGGCTTTGAACTCAGGTTTTCTGAATCCAAATCTTGCAGTGTTTAACCTAAGGTATGCTGCTTCCTGAAATCTAGCTGGCATCACACACTAGGTAAGGCTTTTTATCCAGACTTGTTTTTAGCCACAGTTCACCATGGGAACCCCATGCTGCCGCCACCATTTTCTCCTTCCAGCCTTTTGCCTGTTATTAGCTCAACTCCTGCCCAGGACTGGGGCAATTGTGTGTGCTATTGTTATGTTCTCATCTTATATAAGCAGTGGGAGAGGAGGGAGTATATAAATAATAAACTCTGCAATATCTGTGGCTACTGAGAAGAGACAGACTAGACAGATCTGGGATGCTCTCCACACTAATATTTTCTACTCAAGAGAGTTTAAATTACTCCTCAAAATAAGTATTCAGGTGTTAGTTTATATTCATCCTTTAACATCACCTCTGTCTTCCTCAGTTGATTACAAACTTTAATGTTAATGACAGTCTCTCAATACCTCACCATCTCTGAGATTATCTAATGCTTGTTCTTACTAACTGACCTCATACTTATTACCTTTAGCCCCAAGAGAAGCCCATTTCAGGCTACCCAGCCCCATGTTCATTCTCCTCCAAGCTCTCTGATCACTTTGACCAGCGTTTTATCTGTTTTTGGCACAGCACACCTAACTCTTTCCCCAGGGCACATTTCTGACTCTCTGACCTAATCTGGTTTTGGTCTTACTGATACAGACTTTCAGAGCCTCATTTTTGTAGCAGTTATTATAATTAAAAGTGAAGAGTTTATAGACTAATTAGCCATTTATTCCCCATACTAGACTGTAAGCTTTAGAGCTGGGATTACATCTTGTTTATCACTGTGTCCCCATCCTGTAGCACAATACCTAGTTTAAAGTGAATGTGTATGTTCCTGTCTGTTTCCTGTAGTTTTAGGATAGGATCAGAGTGTGTATATTGTGTTTGTGTGTGTGTGTGTGTGTGCGTGTGTGTGTGTGTGTGTGTAGATGGTGGGAGTCATTTAAGCCACAACCTTCAGAAAAGAAAGCAGCATTATAGCAGGAAATGATGGATTAATCTGTTGATCTAATGGAAATGTGATCCTGGAGATTGGTAGTAAGTGGTTCACCCTTTGGCAATCTCACTGTGGGTTATGGGCAACTTGTGTCCTGGTTGGTGGAACTTTGAACCGTGAAAAGATTCTGCACCATATGTCTGTGACCTTGCACCTGTAATTAATATAAATGGGGTGGGGTGGGCGTTTGAGGAGCCAAGGTGATCAAGAGTGGAGGCGGCTTATTATTCATCCAGACTTGCAATAGGAGGGCACCACTTATCTCTATCTAGAATGTGCTCATCCCCAGTCAAGGAATGTGTAACACACAATGGTCACTAGGGGGCGCCATTGCTCTGTTAATAATCCATCACCTTTAGAAATTCTATAGATTATTGCTTTAGTTTTGGCCCAGGTAGTCTCGTTTTCAGGTATTTTTTAGGAAAAAAAAATCATTGTTGAATCTCAGTTTTAAAATTGATATCAAACAAGTTTCCTGATCCCAGTGAATTGCATATACTAGGTTCTGGACTATTTTATATCAAAGATTGCATTAAAGAGTGGAAACTCTGTTAAGTCCAAACCCAGGTCTCGCAAGAGAAAGTGCAGGAGCTGGAAAGAATTGAGATCTATAGGTTGCCAAGGGAGATATGAAAAAGCAGCCAAGTTCACGCAGGGGCTTTTTGCATCAGATGGTGCAGGATTGGAATTCCAGCTGTCACTTTGGGGCAGTGTGACTTTGGGAAAGCTGAATCATGTCTCCCACCCTCTACTCCTCAGGACCTTGGAGAAGATTAAGCACCATTTTGGCAATCCTTTTAGTATAATTCCTGGCCCTTAGCAAATGTTTAATAACATATTTCAGCTGCAGATTTACCTTTGGGTTGGGGGGTTATTTGATTTATCTCTGTTTCCCCTGCTGACCTCTAAATTCCATGAAGGGACTGTCTGTTTCACCTAGAACAGGGCCTGGTACATTCAGGCTCTTGGAAGATGTATGATGGGGTGGACGAAAAATATAATGAATGGGAAATTTGCTCCTCTAACTATAGAATAAGGCTGTTTAAGATTTTTGATACTACCCTCAATCAAATGTCAGAATATAGTGAATATTGAGAGGAGTCAGGTATAGTCCAGTGAGCTGTCCATAGTCTATACCTAAATGGTCCATAATATATGACTAAACACACTAGGAGGCTGGGGCAGGGAGCGGGCCCCAAGGTCAGAAGTCAATCTGTGGGTTGCCTTGGTAACCTTACAACCATGTACTCCAAGATCCTGGTCCATACGCAAGAGCATTCCAGCGCACGATGACTGAATCTGGGACTGCATTTAGACACCACAGCCGCTCGGGGTAGACACATTGTTGATTCTTACTCTTGTTCATGGTGTGGCCCTTTTTCTCCTTGTTCCTGTGTCGTCATCCAGAGAGCCCTGCCAATTCTTAGGCTGGACAGCTGTTCGTTTCCTAATTAACAGCATCCAGAGTTTCTCAAGATTGCCTGCCTGTAGTGTGTTGGCTACGTCTATACCATGTGATCTCAACTGGGTTTTATTTGTTTCTGTCTGATATTTTCCAGCATATCTAATGACAACATGGATCCAAATACACACTAAGAAAACAGAGCTTTAATACCCAGGAGTCCTCAGCACCAATCAATACTATTAACCGCCTTTATTATCAGACATGCATCTTAGATAACATTTTGGGCTTTGGTGTTTTTAACACGTTGTCATTTCAAATTATTATTACTCAAAGGTGTCTAGTAAAAGAGGCAACCTGAGATAATGAGAAAAGAGAGAAGCTTGGAATCTGGGCTGGGTTGGGACATAGCACCTCTGCTTAATGACTCTGTGATGTAGGGTCATCCATTAACCAATATGAGTGTTGGTTTGCTCATCTGTAAAATGGGGATGATATCAATACCTACCTCTTGGTGTCCTGAAGATTAGGGTGATCATATATATGCAGAACCTGGTATGTAGTAGGCCCTTAATAGCTGATGATATGGTCTTAATACGACCTTCTAATGCACTCAGTTGTGTCTATTATTGGGGCAGAAATGTTGATTAACAGACACATTACTTTGGTAGTTTTAACCTTGTGATGACACAGGGAGCCACTCAGCCAACCTCCAAACTGGTGAGCTCAGTAAAGCCAAGTTCATAGTCAAATCCTCCATGCAGTTGCTGTTGGAGTCTGGTTCCGCCATCCCTTCATTGTTGTCACACTTCCAACACTGTCTCTCATTTGCCAATGACACTCCCTCTCTACCTAGTTATTTCTAGCTGCTTATCCAGTATTCATTCTCCTTCTTTACCAACAGAACCCAGTTTCATTAGAGGCTGCAATGCACCCTGTTAAAGTATATACCTCTCTAGATTCCACTGTTGCTAGGGGTGACTGTAGCTCCTGCTTCTGGCCAAAGAGATATCAGCTGAGGTTCCTGGGAAAGCTTTGCCTTACAGATAGAAGTACCACCCCTCCCTGCTATCGCATAAAGGCACAGCGGTCATGAACCAATACCTGAGGGTTAGCTGGGGCCATGTAACCAGTTCTAGTCAGTGAGTTGTGAGCAGAAGTGACAGACCATTTAAAAACCAACACGAGAGCCTCCAAGAACTCTCTTCCCATCTGCTATGATAAGCAGCACAATTTAAGATAGTGGCTGGTCTATCATCCTGGGTCCCAAAGTGAGGAGATGTGGAGCAGAGGCCCCACTGGTCCCTAATGGACATGTAGCAGGAGGGAGAAATAAACGTTGGTTGCTTGAAGCCCCTGGGGTTGTTTGTTATGCAGCATACCCTAGTCCAGTCTGACTGATACAACCCTGACCACATTGCCCCACTAAGTCCATCAGCTGGGAAATAACTGAATGCTAAAAACGAATGAATGGATGATTGGATGCATCAGTGAATCGACTTGCTTCTCCCAGGGCCCATCCCTTCAGCTCATATCTAGAAATGGCTATAAATCAGCCTCAATTACTATGTGCCCCCTTTGAGAAAGCTTCAGTCAGTCCTTCAACTTTAGTGGCCATACAAATTCCCTGAGGACCTTTCATTAAAAATATAGATACTCAGCCATCCCCCCAAACCTACAGAAGCAGTCCCTGGAGGTGGGCCATGGCCATCTGCATTTTTAAACGAGTTTCCTGGGAGGTTCTGACAACAGGCCAGGGTTCAGGCTTGTGGCCCCTCTAGGTAGAAATTTCTGGACCCATCAACAGGCCAGAAAGGGTGATGGTCTTCAGCATGTGCATTTCCCGCTTTCTCACCATCGTCCCCTCCCCAAGTCCTGCCTTAACCCCAAACCTTGTTTCCACGTGGCCACTTTGACCTAAAAGCAATTACCTTTGGTAAAGGTTCCCTTGAATATGCCTCTGGGCATGTGATGTCTCCTCCCTGACCACTTACCTGTCAAAAAAAGGGAGTTGAAACAGGGTAGCCAGAAAGCCTTCTGTGACAGGTGGCAATAACAGTCTCTCATCTTTCAGATGCACACAACACAGTGTGACATGATGGTGCTGCTTCTAAGATAATTCAGGCTTAATGCACATGTGATGCATATACATTCATAAGAGTGCCGCACGCCCTGTGGTATAACCATTGGACCAAGTTGAAGCTGTGTGACAGTTGTATTCTTTGTCCCTTCGGTGTTTCTCTGTGACTATATTTTTAGCCGTATTTGGAAAGAACATCTAAATTCGAGGACTGGATTGTGAGGCCAAGGGGAATGGCCCTCCAACACCCCACCACCCCCACACCATCATGGGTGTAGAGGCAGAGGGAGGCCTGATGCTGGGTGTCTGGGTGTGACTCAGGGGCCACTTTCTGTAGCCATGCCCTGTCGGGGAAAGCAGAGATCTCTCAGCTGAGGGAAGTCCCTTCCATTTCTGAGAGACAGCTGGCTTTAGGGTGGGCTAGATCTATATGGAAACACAACTGAAATTCCAAAGATTTATGGCAGGAGGAGACCAGAACAGCGGGTTGCCCCAGCCAGAGGGAGGGAAGTAATAGTTATCGGGGACCTACTGTATACCTGGCC